ATTGACAATTGTTTCCATCACTTTGGATATGATAGACAGCAGAGACACAGGTCTGTAGTGTTGAGGCAGGTTCTTGGATTTCTTCTTGTGAATGGGTGTGACTCTAGCTGTCTTCCAGGATGTCGGCATAACCATGCTGTAGAAGCTAAGGGAGAACAGTTTGGAGAGTGGCTTACTTAGGGGGTCGGCACACATCTTCAGAACTCGCGCGGGAATGCAATCCGGTCCAGTAGCTTTCGATGCATTTAGGCGCCGGAGTTCTCTCTTGACAGTGGCAGGGCGGAACCGAACCGTTGAGAGCTTTTCAGCCGTGCGCTTTGCAACGTGGGGGAAATCAGTCGCTGGTTGGTTGGCGGGGAAGTCGTCGGCGCCCAGGCTGCACTTTGAGGCGAAATACTGCCCAAAACACTCAGCTTTTTCGGCATTCGATACGCATTCCAAACCAGGCTGCGGCGTAAGAGTTGGAATGGACGTGTTTCTGCTGCTGACACCTGCTTGCTTGATGGTAGACCGCCACGAGCGGTCACTCAGGCTAGCTTTGGAGAGCTTAGTACGCAGGGTAGCCAGGCGGGCCACCTTGGCATGCTGGAGGATGTCATTACAACGTAGAGTGGCTGCTGAGGCTGTCTGCCGCGCTGCTGTTGACTTCTGCCGTCTGGCAGTAGCCCAAGCCCTCTCTTTTGCTTTTATGGCATCCGTGCACTCAGGGGTCCACCAAGCTGGATCCGTCGGCCGGGATGTGAGTGGCCGGGATGGGATGAAACGTGACATACCCTGGAGGATAACTTCGGTGATGTTGGCGCACGACTCATCAGCGCTGGTGGTGAAGGCAGTTGACCAGTCATAGGCTAGGAAAAAGTGACAGAGGCGGTTCCAGTCTGCTTGGTTGTACCGCCAGACAATGCGTGTGGTTTTTGGTTCACGGAACGCAGAGATAGGGAAGTCCATGGTGAGGACAGCGTGGTCAGAGGACCCCAGTGGGGCATGGCATTTCACCTGAACCGGTTCACTGAAGTCAGACATGACAAGGTCCAGGGCGTTGTCTCCACGTGTGGGGATGTTGACATGTTGCTCCAGGCCACGAATATAGCAGAGTTCCTCGGCTGCTTCTCCTGCCGAGGTAGTCTTGGTGCTCCCTAGCCATGCTGCATTGTGGACATTGAAGTCCCCTGCGAGGATAACATAGTCACCGTGGCTGCGGGCCTCATCTAGGTGGGTATCAAGGTATTCGATCAGCTCGGTGTCTGTCCCGGCTGTGGAGCCTGATCGGTAGAGTGCACAGATAACAATCTTGGACCGGCTAGCTGTTGATACAGATATCCATATCACTTCGTGGTGTTCCGTGCTGAACCGGTCCAGGTGCTGGAAGGCCATGTTTGATTTCACCCAGATGGCAACTCCTCCTCCATGAGCGTTTCTGTCATGTCGGATTGGGGGAGCGTATCCGGACAGACAGACCTCACTGTCAGTGACATTTGCGGTTGAGAATTTTGTCTCCGTAACAGCGATGACATCAGGTGAGGAGCACTTTGCAACATGTGCAAGTTCACCAAGCTTTGACTTTAGGCCAAAAGCATTGGTGAGTAGGAGCCTGAGGAAGCGCTTCATTGGTGACCATGTAGGTCATGTTGTGGCGCAGATCCGTTTGATCTCTTCAGGTCTCCAGCCTCTGGTGGAGAGAGGTGGGAGTTTCTCCGTTTTTGGCCACCAGGCAGTGGAGTGGAGATGATGTCTGCCGGTGGTGGTGGCGGCGGTGGTGGCGGCGGCGGCGGCGGGGAGGAGGTTGAGCCCTGCTGCTGTTGTTGCTGTTGCTGTTTAGTCAGAACACTGGCAGAGGTGCTGTTTCTGCTACTGTGGCAGCGATTGCTGGTGCTGCCCTCAGGGCTGGTTTCAGAGAACCTCCATGGCCTGCAGCATAGGGGTCTTGGCCAGAAGTTGGGCGCTGTAACTGTGGAGAATGAAGTGGCATCGATGGTCACTCTGGCGGAAGCACGCCCACTTTCTGACAGCCATACACTGCAGGTGTGGACAGGAATAGAGGCGCCCAGAAACTCACTCCTGGTTTTGATAAATTGCCTGAAGTGGCTCTCAGTGCTATCTGTGGCGATATTGCCCACGTACACTACGGCACGCTTGTTCTTGGGTGGTTCTGAGGAGACAAGCTTCCATGAGTCATCCTCGATAACATGGAAGATTGGCTTGCCGTTGGACTCTGTCACATCTGTCTGAGACTTGGACTCTGTCACATCTGTCTGAGACTTGGACTCTGTCACATCTGTCTGAGACTTAGACTCTGTCACATCTGTCTGAGACTTGGACTCTGTCACATCTGTCTTGGGCTGTGACTCAGAACACTCTGCCTTTGCCAAGCCACCGCTTCCCTGGGCCTGGGGCCGTGGGGCTTTCGATCCGCGCTTGTGACGCCAGTACGTGATACGGTGCTGCTGGGTTCCATGTGAGCTGCAGCTTGCTTGGCGCTGCGTTTGCTGGCACGGGTACTACCGGTACTACTTCGCGTACGATGTACGTCTGCTTGAACTGGTGAGCTGTTTCTCGTCGTCTTCGACTGCATCCAGGCGATGGCGGAGTTTTTTGAAACAACTAACTCTTCCTTCAAATCTTTTACTTCCGCTGCCAGCTCACCAATTTTGCGTTTCATCCGCGCTTCGCGATCAGCAGACTCGGTCGCGAACTTTGCCAGCGTTTGCATCACTGCAAGGAGACCCTGCTCAATCCCCGGGAGGGTGCAAAGCAGCTTCGTCACGGCCTCAGCAGAGAGCTCGCCCATGGCGAAGGGTTCCTGCCTGGCCCAACCTAACTATCTAGACTATACCACACTATTTCTACTACTACTACTACCCACCTAGCTATCTCCAGTCCGGCCTGATGCCGGCTGGGATGTCCAAAAAAACGAAAAGCTACGAGCTTGAAAAACGCGTGCCACACTCGTTGCTGCAAAAACTTGATTCCCCGATTGCCCCGTCTGACGCAGTTAAGTATCTAGGACTGACTCTCGATTCAACTTTTAAGTTTCAGTGCCCACGTTAACTCCCTCAGGGAAGACATCGGAAAGAAACTAGGTGCTTTTCGAGGTGGAAGGAGGAACCTTGCTGTCCAGGCGAGAAGGCAGTTCTACTTGTCAGTAGTCCAGAGCAAGCTCGAGTACGCCAGCACTGCCTACGTCCACTGCCTCGCTGACAATGTGAGAGATCAGCTGCTGTGCATAAGTAAGAGAGCACTTAGATGCATATTTGAGCATGACACATTCACGCGGACATCATACTTGCTTGAGCGATACCACATAATTAGCTTAGACAAAAGATATCATACTAAGTCCATATTCTTCGTGTTCCGTTGCATCCACAATATCTGCAGTTCACTCCTCTCTGACATGTTCTCCCTTCGCCGTGACTGCGCTCACACAGACAGAGTAACCCGCGGCCAAGTCAATTATTCCCTTTCCTTACCCATTGTGCAAGCTCAAGCTGGATACAGATCTATTTCATTCCTTGGTGCTGACCGCTTTAATGCGCTTCCCGAATCCCTTCGCACAAATCATATCCCCAATTCATTTCGCCAGGAACTTAACAATTTCATTCATCTTGGGCACCCTGTAAGAAGACCTTAGGGTCTGTTGGGAATGCACAATTAAAATAATAAAATACAAAACAAAACAAAAACAAAGTGAAAACCGCTGGCGTTGTCCGGCCATAAACACCATTATTGGCATTAATCCAACGCCTCCGTTGCTCCTCATCTCTGCAGCTCATACCAATACTGGCAATAGGTCTGGCACGTCAAAAAACTTAAATACTTGGAGCTACAAGCTACATTTTCAGAGACAGGGAATTGCAAATGGCAAGAAACCCAGCTTCCCTTCACCTTTGGCATCACGAGCAATGACCATTTATCAGTCAGCAATGTTTTACTAGAGCAAAGCTAAAGGCGCTGGCGGGAACAGAAACAGCAACGTTTCTTTCTCAGCAAAAAAACAAATAAAAAGGAAAGGAACAAAAGGGGATCAACACCAGGGATTTGCCCATACCCGGTACCCAGCTGTGTACTCCTGGAAAGGCTCTCCCACAGATTCGAGCACAAAGGCCACGGCCAAGTGTCCCACTGAGGTGCGGTCGCTTGCCCGGACCGCTGGGACGCGGACACCTATGAAAAGCAGCCTGTGACGTTTATTTTTTATGACAGAAAATCCGCAAATAAAGTTGGGCTTGTCCCTTTAGCTTTTCGCTTCAGGTAAAGTCATTATTATCTGTTATACTGAGTATTTCAAGTATCCCGTTGCTATGGAGAGTATCGTGGCAATTGAGGTCATTCTCTGATGTTATGTACATAATAATTGTTTAAAAGGATGAAGTTTCGTTTTCAATCCGTGCATATGGTTAAAAGTCGTTTGTACTTTCAATACGTTTCACAACGCTATCACCAACTCATTTTTTCGATGTCCACCATCCTAGTGTTGAAAGTAGCAAGAATCTTCATTGAATCATTTCCTGCCTGTGTTTAAATTCAGGCAAGTACATGTGTGCAGTGCATGCCGCTTGCCGAAAGAACCATATAACATGTGGACAAGCTGATCTTCTCATTTACATTGTCCGACTTATAAAAAAAGCCATCCCCACAAAATGTTCTCCTCACATACTTTACTGTCCAACTGATGAACACTGCCAACTATGGAGCATTATCATCTTCACAGCTGTTTAGGAAAATTTGCCTTCAAAACTTATATCCAGTAATTGTTATAATTTACTAAGAAAATGGTGGACATCACGCAACTGCATTAAAAAGGAAAGGGGGTTTATCAACTGACAACCGCTCTATTCAGTTGCTATTTACAGTGAGTGGCCCGAAACATCAAAATATTTTGACGTCACTGATAAAGAATTTTCATCCAGCGCACGTGTGAGTAGCAACTGCATTGAACGATTGTCAGTTGACAAACCCCCTATTCTGTAATTGTTGTTCTTGTGTGTGTTATATACACGCAGACTTACCTTCAGCTGGAGGAATTTTATTCCGAAGGCCAAGTGGACGCTAACACGCTAGTTGTTCTAGTTAGCGGGGAACAACTTGTTGGGAAGTCCACACTGATCAAGACATTGAGAAAAGAAGAACACAATGGCACATCAAACGACTCGAAACGAACCCGAGGCATCCAGATATCCAACTTCACTGATGAGCGTGGTCAGCATTTGCGTATCAAAGATCTCGCTGGGCAGGATGCGTTTTCAGCGACACACGACATTTTCTGCCTATCCACATCAGTACCAAGCCTCGGTCTTGCTGTTGTTAATAGTAAATGGGACGCGAAACTGATGACAACAAGCATAACTACCACAGCTGGTCGGTTTTTGAGCCGGATGCCACCATCGGTAACATCAGGTCAGTGCGATACTTTATCAAATGCGTTTTTGTTAATTTTTGTTTGTGTCTGTTGATCCGTATGTCGGCATGTACTGTAGCAGACATGAAAATTCAGTTGATTGACCGGGGCCGGCACCCTCAGCGCCTACAGAACACTGCGTGCAGTGCACAGTCATGTTGATCCGATGTGACCAGCGCGCTGCAGCGCATAATGCATGTGTTTACCGCTTGTCCACGGCTGCATGGCGAGTGCCCTGGGGCCGCAAGATGTGTGACCGGTTTTCCATGTCCACGACAGTACATGCATGAATGAATGATTAGGGCAAGTGTTTGATTGTGTACACTGGTGCAGGGAGGGCACTGTGTGTGTGTGTGTGCATGCAGGTATGTATGTGTGTGTGTGTGTGTGTGTGTGTGTGTCCCATATGGTGCAGTGGTATGTGCAGCGATTTCCAATCGATAGGTTGCGGGTTCGATTCCCGACAATTATGGTCAAACGTTATTCTTCTCTTTCTCAGACTCTTCCTGACCTTTCTTTCTTTCTCCTGGGTGGTTACCAACAGCCAGTGTATGCTGGAGTATGTGGTGTGGTGTGTGTGTAGAAAAAAGAAAAAAAAAGAAAAAAAATGGACAAATGAAAAATAGGGATTCACTGGCCAGAAAAAGTCACTTCAAACAGCTGTGTGGTGGATACCAGGCTAAAATAGTGGCGGTCAATTCATCAGCTTTGCAAGCTGTTGAATGGTGTTATCCCAGCACAAGAAAGTTGCTATGTCTAACATAGCTGTTCGCTATCATCGCTCCCGCGATGGGCATGTCTGAGGTCTGAGGTGTGTGTGTGTGTGTGTGTGTGTGTGTGTGTGTGTGTGTGCGTGTGTGTGTGTGTGTGTGCGTGTGTGTGTGTGTGTGTGTGTGTGTGCGTGTGTGTGCGTGTGTGTGCATGTGTGCGTATGTGTGCTCATGTGTGTTTTATTTATAGTGGTGTGCACGGGTAGTCGGATACCCATGCAACCTGTGAGGACCTCGGGTAGACGGGTACAGAATAGTACCTGAAAACCTGAAGTCACTGATGACATCATGTATAGTGCACATGTACAAATTCATGTAGTACTCCCCATTTCTATCTAGTGTGTAAGGGAAGGGTGCATTGTGGTGTCACCATGGAAACATTACCCAATAGGGTATCCGTGCAAACCGTGGAAAACTACCCAAACCCGATAGCTGAAGAAAAATCTACCTGACTCAGCCCTAGATATTCATCTCTCCGTGCATGGTAAAGGCCTGCAAAAAGTCCCTGGGTAGACACATTGGTGAAGGTCCAGAACATGTGCGTCAATTTGGGCCCGGGAGCATATGTGGTCCCGCCGACATTTTGGATGCGTGAAATCAGACTGTTTTTCACATGAACAGTTTTATTCACAAGTGCTGTACACTGTACTTGTTGTGAACCATCTGGTTCTCTCAAGTATCAGGAACGAACGACCACATGGCACGAGGACAACTATTTAATCTTGACAGTATATTTCACTTCGATCAACTAATGGTAATGAATAACTAACACTAAAACCACCAGGTAGTTATAGCGTGAACATGACAGCGTACGAAGTAGTGGTTGCGACCTCGGCGATGATTTGTAAAAAAATGACAGCGTATACGAGAAAAGCATACACATACCACATACAACTGCAGCGCACACAGCAAACCGCACATAGCGCCTGTAGCGTATACCACGTCGTAAACATCAGCAGTACGGCGGAGTTGGGATACAAATGCATTGAAACGAACACAATGTCACAAGCGAGAAGGCCTTTCACTCTTGAGAACTTGTGGTTTCGCAACAATACTAACGAATTGTTACTGCACATCAAGCTGAACATGCACTGCCCCATGTACTGGGTCTTTCCTTTTGCCCATGCGTGTTCACACGGAGGCAGTCTAGAAAATGAGATAAGAGTGTGGACACATTGCACATGGGCGCGTACACGGATAGTGGACATTATACAAATCTTCAAGTTTTTCCGAACTTTCCAGAGTTTGACTTTTCACGCTGTGTGTGTGTGCAGTGGTTAACAGTTTTACCACACAGAGCACTATGGTCTGTGCATACAGTTACGTACCACTACCAGTCTACTGGATAGCCGCACTATCATGCTACATGAATCACGTGGCACAAGTCCAAAGACTTGTCACTTGCACCTACATGCAGTCAGGGAAAGTGAGCTTTGTGTTTGAGAAAGAAATGAATTATGTTATTTTTGGGCATGGAATAGTCCCGGCTCATCTTTCCTGCAACAATGAGTCCACAACCGACAAGTGTGAAAACAGCAAACAGCTTCTGGATCGAAAACGTTCAGATCCTTTATTGTTGAGACACTTGAATGGAAGAGCCATGCCTTTGGTTTAAATATTCTGCTCTCTTCTCCAATTGAGCAACGTCCGAAATGTCCATACAAAAATTGTCTATGCCCGATGGAGCCCAAGATTTTCGGAAACTTTCAGAGAACTCGCATCTGTTTTCTCCATCTCCAGACTTTGCTCTCCAGAGATCTGATAATAGAATCAGCCTGGTCGGCATTAGCTGCTTCTTCTTTGTTTGTCGCAGAAACAGCAGCGCACACTTCTGACTGGCCTGTGCAGCCACTTCTCCAGTAGATTACCAAGGTTCTCAGCCCGAGACCGAACACATGGAGGTCAGGCATGGTTCCATCCTCACTAACGAGATATATCTTCGAGGCCGCTCATAACACCCTAGTACGTACTATCGGTCGCCAATTCATTTGAAGTAGCATTAGCACAATTGCTTTAAAACACTCTTTTGACCATTTTTTAGCTGCATGCTATGATATTGCAGAGAGTGTGTTGCTTAAAATCACCTTTCCTCAAATCTCCTCACCACAAATTAGATTTTTTTGTTTGCGTTTCCCATCTCTTGTTGTTGCAAATACAGACCAGCCGTTCAATGTCATGATCATTGCGACCTTCCGCGACGAGATTAAGAGAGAGGATCATGGAAAACTTGCTGCAAAGCTTGCCACAAGCTATAGTAGTGTCAAGAAGGAGTTTGGTGATAAACTCCACTTTCGAGGACGCTTTGCTATCAATGCCACCGTCAATGACGCAGACTTCGATCGCCTGAGAGTAAAACTTTCTGAGGTCTGCAGAGATATCCTGAGCGTAAGTAAAACTGTAAACCAGATTTTAATTACTACTAGTGGAGAAACTAGGGGATAGTAAAGGGATCAGGAAAGATAAAGTGTGATAGAGAGAGGCAAAGATGCAAAGATGGAAAGATGGAGAGAAAGAGGGAGAAGGATAAAGAGATAGATAATGAGAACGAGAAAGAGAAAGAGAAAAAACAAGAGAGAAGAGACTGAGAGAAAGAGAGGCAGAAAGAGATGAAGAGAAAGATGGACAGAACGATGGAGAGAAAGAGTTAGGGAGACAGAGAGTGAGAGTGGGAGTTTAAGAGAGACGGAGATAGAACTGCAATGCACACCAGTGGAGTTCTTTCGAAAATCGGCACCAGAACACAACCCCAGCCAGGCCCAGACAACACCGAAGTGCGAAAATGAGAAACAGTTTAAAAGATGCGTTGCTCGAAGAAGCCAGCCAGCCACTGCATGCCGTACCAGCACGATGGTGCACGCCCGCACACAGCCAGAATCAATGCACGTGTGGTAGCAGCGCAGGGGAAAGCAAAATGGTTTGACATTCGGGTTGTCATTCAGCCGGCTCAAAGTCCCAATCTAAATTTCGACGACTTGGTATTCTTCCACAGCCTGCAGGCAGACTTGTCACTTGTGACAAAGGAAACCAGAAAGAAGCTTCTGCAAGCTGTGGAAACATGTTGGCATGAATACCCAGTTGCCAAGATGAGGAGCATTTGGCTGTGTCTGTGTGCCTCTTTCCATCACGGCATTCTGGAGAGTGGCTGAGACAACAACTACCAGCGCCACTGTGGAGGTCGTCAAGCTCACAGTTCTGGCAAAGAACTTGGCGATCTCCATGATTAATTAGTGTCTTGGCAACTTTTAAAGGCTGCGGAACAATAACGAGAGTCAGCGAGGATGCAGACTCAATGTCATCATGGAGTGAGTCCTCATCAGATTCAGAAGAAGAGTGAAGCTGGACTACTTTGAAACGAGCTGTGTGACATCTGTAAATAACTAATCTCTCATATGCTGCTGTGTTTTCCACTTTTCAAAGTGTGTTTGTAGCCATAAAATGCTTATGACTGAACTGTAAATATGCAATGAAGTTTTGCATGCGGAGGAAGTACGTCATTAGTGGATTGGGTTCGTTCTCAGTGACGTATACATACGTCATTAACGATAAAAGGTTTAATCATGTTTGTGAACAGAGAGTACTTTACCCACTGTGTTGATATGCATGTTCAGAAATCTTGCAAGCAACCCAAAGTGCTCGGGCAGGCAGAGGAAATACTGGCACAACTGCATGACAACATCCAAGCGCCATTCTCAACAAGTCGGGAGTTTTCTCGACAGCTTTGTGCTGCTAGCCACGTAGAGTATGATGACAATGCAGACAGCATCAACACCGAACAAATCCGTCGATATCGCAAGATCCTCAATGCGTATGGGCTGGTATGTAAATACTCTGCAGATTGAGTAATTTCAATTTGCTTGCAGTAGATGTATTTCATGTTATGATGTATGTCATGTACGTCATGTACATCTCTAAGGGGTCGTTGCAAAAGTGTTTTATCGTCCCTGAAATGAACATCGCTCATTTCTTACTCGGACACCCTCCACTCCCTATGAAAGGAATGCAGCTTGCTATGCTGGATGATGAAAATTGCATGCATGTATATGTAGTCATGTACATATGTATAGTATCGGTCGACTTGTGATTTTTCCAGATTTTTTGGAAACTGGCACCCTAACTTTTTGGTGTCTCCCGCACATAGTTGTAGATATCGTGAAAACAACAGTACATTCGGCATGGTGTGACCCGTGCAATTACTCCTTGCCACATTTGAGGGCAGAAAGACCCAAGAACAGGGAAATAAAAATTCAGCCAGGTTTACAAAATTTGGAGAGGTATGCATGGCAAAGTATGTGGAGAAGCAGATCCCAAAAACATATTCTTGAAATTTAAAGTGGATTTTTGATCCTCAATTCGGCCCAAATCGAACTTTCAAAAGCCAGCGGGACAGTTTCCAATGAATGGACTGTAGTGTCGGTCGACTTGCGATTTTTGCCCCCTCCCCCCCCCCCCCCCCCACCCCCTCCAACGAACGATGCTCGTTTCAGGGTCGACAAAAAAAGACTTTTGCAACGACCCCTAAAGTGGATTTGTTCTTATCCGTTGGTTTGAGGGAAAGATGCAACCGGTTCCATTTGTTCCTTCTTTTTATCAAGCCCATATCTAGAACACTATGATGCCCATCCTGCCATAAGCTGTAGTTTATTATCTATTATTCAGTGGTAGACCAGCTATACACCGATACTAGTGGGTGTAAGGCTGCTGGAAACTTCAAGATGAAGTAAAAATTGTGGAACAGGTTTAGTGTGTTGCTGTGCACAATATGGCTAGCTGAGGCTTGACAGCAGGGGACATCACCTACAGATTGCTGGCTTTAGGCTGATAAAGAAATGATTGACAACGGGTGAATTGTGCTTTGCACCTTTGATGAATTGATCTTCAACAGCGAGTTTCTATGAGGATGTGCTGCATAGTCCTGCTTTGGCTGGCACCAGAGGGTTGCATTTGTGTCCATGAGAGGATACGGCACTTATTTCCGTGCAGCTCAAGCCAGGGCATCTGTACTCCTTTCCCTTACATCCATTTCTTTAAAACTTAGGATGGTTCATTTAACAGTTTCGCATTGTCTCTCAATGTGGGGTCAGGGGAAGTGTGCTGTCATGACGCTTCGATGATTGGCTGGTTGACTTGCTTTGTTTTATTTTATTTTGGAGGTTTTTGGCCTTTTTAATATCCATCTGTCTGCGCATGCGTGTGGAATGTGTGTGCATCCATGTTTGGGCATGTATCGTGCGTCGGCTTACAACTATGTGTGTTGCCGTGTGTATGTATTTGCATATCGTGTTTTTGTTTCTAGATTGTTTCTTTCTCATCCCCTGAGCTGGACGACATCATCGTTAACCGACCCAACTGGTTGCTCTCCACGGTCATTGGTCTCATTCTCGCACCACCTGGGCTTGACGATGAAGATATGCTGCACTTCATAGATGGTGTTGCGAATGTCCAGGAAGTCCTTGGCAAGCTTAACAGCTGCGAGGGAGCAGAAGGTCAGGGCCCTCTGCTGCTGCAGATGGTGATACAACTAGGTGTGTTGCTGCAGGAGAAAGAAAGGATCCTGGCACCCAGCCGTCTTCCGACCGCTGACAACTGCCTCGGCTCACTGGCCAAGAAAGATTCATCATCTCAGTCGGCGTGCGCAGGAGTCTCTTTCACGACTCAGCACTGCTTCTCCACTGCTCTTGTTATCCGGCTACAGACAGAGCTGTACGCCTATTTCCACGAGCTTCACGGCATTCCTGCTGAGCTCTGGAAGAATCTGGTGGTAGTGGCTCCAGTCCATTCCCCAGCCCGTGGTTGCATCTCCGTCACGGACAGCCTGCGCCAAGCTGTCGCTGTTGTCCATGCGCCAGTTGAAGATACGCTAGATGGCTATTGTCTGCTGGCTCTGTTGCGCATGGTGTTTGATAGGCTGGCAGCACAGTATAGCCCGGGCACTAATTACTCCACGAGCATCCTCAGCTCCGCTTCCATTCGTCAGCACCTCCACGAGCCAAGTACCAAGTTTGATTTCGCTGTGTACGATGCAGAGCAAGTCAGATCATCTGTAGCAACACAGGGTCATCTCTCCACTAGCCACCTTTACGTCGATCGTGCCCCGCTTCTTCTCAAATGGCCAGTTAACCATGCTTCACTGCTCTCTGCACAGTCCTTTGAGTCCGTCCGAGAAAGCCTTGGTGAGTCCGACCTGCCTGCACTGGCCACCTGCCTGGGCCTTACATCATCATCTTCATCACGTGGGCACAGTAATCATCTACACGCTGCAGCAGCATTGGTCCACAGCTGGGCAGTTACCGACTACCATCACACCTCGACCAAGCTTCACCAGCTGCTAGTGAAATCACCGAACGCCCAGCGCTTTGCAAAGATCTGCAAGGTGCTACGGCAGCATGAAGAACTGGTGAGTGTGATCGCCTGTTGCATACCCCCTCTCTCTCTCTGTCTCTCTCAGTCTCCCTCAGTCTCTTCCTCTCTCTGTCTATCTCTTTCTCTCTCTCAGTGTCTCTGTCTCTCTGTGTCTCTCTGTCTCTCTCTGCCTCTCTCTCTTTCTCTCAGTCTCTCTGTACTTCACCCCCCCCCCCTCCCCCCTCTCTGCCTTTGTCTATCTGTTGATGTATGCAAGTTGTTCCACCATTTTACTCAACAAAACATCTGTCACCTTCCATTCACACATTGACAATTCACAATGCTTTCTCAGCCGTGTTATTCTTCTTTATTTGACTCTCAGTGGTGTGGATGATATTGACACTAACTGATGTTGATATCAGAGCCATGTTTGGTGCTTGTTTGTATCCTTGTTACTCTCCGCACTGCAGCTTGCCACCGATTTCCCGGACATATTCCGGAAGCGTCGGGTGCAAGTCGTCGAGCCGGTCTCCGCCGAAGCTACTTCCTCCACTGTTCCACCAGACTTGTCAGTGTAACAGGTTTAATCAAACTTGAAAAGTAAGAGGCCTGGTTGAGCGTGCCTCGACCAGTTATATACAAATGTGATAGTATACATGTGGCAATGGCGCCAATGAAGGTGCTAATAGACAGGCGTAAGACGCATGAGGTGCGAGGGAGTGTAAAGTTATAGAGAACAGGGGAAAACTGTTACATCATCCCCCTCCTATGGAGAGGAAGGAGCTTATAACCCAAATGCTCAAGTGGAATAGAGTACAATAAGCGCAAACACGTGCGAGACGAAAAAAGGCTTTGCACTGAAGTAACACAATAAGATGACTGAAACTCCATGCAAATTAAAGTGTAATAAGCTCAACAAATGTGTAAGGTGAAACTAGAAGTTCAACTGCAAAACTCAGCGGGCAGAAGCCAAGGTTTTGTACTTCTGAAGTGGAACAATGTCATTACCAGATTCATCCAACAAATAATGTTCAGGCTCCCAAGTGGCATCAGAGTAGCCTTGCCACTTGACTAGGTACTGAAGCTGATTCTGCCGGCGGCGGTGACTGAGAATGTTCTCCACCACATAGCGGGCATGACCATCAAGGTCCGTGATAGGCGGAGGCGTAGGCTGTCTCCTATTAGGAATAGCGTTCTTCTCGTAGGCACGGAGTGCCGACACATTAAATACCGGGTGACAGCGGCTGGTATGAGGCAACTTGAGCTTGTAGGCATTCGGGCCGACCACATGGGTTATAGGAAAGGGGCCAAACCACTTGGGGCGTAATTTATGGGATGGTCGGTCCCGAGCTTCAGGAGTCAGGAGGAAATCCCGGTAGACCATTACCAAATCTCCCACCTTCAGCTTTCCCTCGACCCTTGTCCGATCTGCATAGAAGGCCTGACGAGCTTGAGCTGCCACTAACGCATCTTGTGAGATCTTGACCGCGTCTTGTCTTGCTTGCAACCAATCAGCTGAATCTCTGCCTCCCTGAATAGGGTTGAGGAAGTCGGGTGGCGCTCTGGGATTTAGACCGTAATTTAAGAAGAACGGTGTGTTTCCTGTAGATGATTGAGTAGCGCTGTTGATAGAAAACTCACAGAGAGGTAGGAGCATATCCCAGTTATCTTGTTTATGATTTACAAAAGCCCTCAGCACATCCTCTACTATTCTGTTTACTCGTTCAGTTAGGCCATCTGTCTGAGGGTGATTGGCAGTACTAAATGCTAGTTTCGTTCCTAAGCGATCAAACAATTCCTGAAAAAATGCTGCCGTAAATCTTGGATCACGATCACATACAATACTAGAACTCAAACCATGAAGTCGAAATACATGTTGAATATACAGATCAGCACTTCCTTTAGCGTCAATAGTAGAGGAAGTAGGTGCTAAATGTACACACTTTGTCAAGCGGTCTACAAATACATATATAGCATCATGACCTGTATCGGTCCTAGGCAAACCCATGATAAAATCCATCGAGATATCCGCCCACGGCTGACTGGGCACTGGTAAATTCTGCAAGAGACCAGTTTTTAGCTGGCCGCCTTTAACTCGTTGGCAGACGTCACATGACTTGACAAACGCCTTTACATCCAGTCCCATTCTGGGCCAATAGAAATATCTAGCGAGTCTGAAATAGGTGCGATCTCGACCGGGATGCCCCGCAGTCACACAGTCATGGTATTCTTGAAGCAGGGCGAGTCGGAGTTTGCTACTCTTTGGAATACATAACCTGTTCTGTGGTGAAGATCTGAGATAAAGATAACCGGGTGTTTCATTTAGAAGGTAACGGTCGTGCAGATTGTCATGGCTTGAATTTTTCAGTCTCCTGATAATGGGAGCAAGATCCTTGTCGCACTTGTAACCGCTGACAATTAACTGCGCTAAGTCTGGATTAATCTCTAGGGTATGCTCTATGGCATTCAACTGAATGTTAGGAGGATAGGATGACCCGCCTATTTCAGAATCACTGAACAGATCTGGACGGCGTGAAAGCGGGTCGGCAATGTTTTTCTTTCCTGGTTTGTGAAAGACCGTAAAGTCATAGTCAGCTAAAAACTCTACCCATCTTGCCTCACGCTTGGTGAGAGTCGGTTTGGTTCGTAAATAGACAACACCCATATTATCAGTCATCAGGTCAAAGTGGCGGAATAGATAGATTCTCCAGCACTTTAATGCAAATACCACAGCCAACGTTTCCCTCTCGGCCGCAGTATAGTTGCGTTCTGCAGCTGACAGTTTCCGACTACAATAGGCTACGGGATGCAAATCCATATCTTCTCCCTGCTGCAGGAGCACACCCGCCACGGCAAAGTCACTTGCGTCAGTTTCTACCGTGAAGCTTTTCTCAACATCGGCCAGTTGCAACACTGGCGCCTCGAGTAATGCTGATTTTAGAGACTCGAATGCCTTCTGTCTAGCAGCGCTCCATTCAAAGCGTGAATTTTTTCCGGTGATTTCTTCTAATGGACGAGAGATGGTCGAGTGTCGATCTATGAACCTTCGGAAATAGTTTGCAAAGCCAAGAAACTTCCTCACATCAGTTACTGACGACGGAGTTGGCCATGTTTCCACAGCACTTATCTTCTTGGGATCAGGGGAAATTGATGTGCCGTTGATTTTATGCCCCAAGAAGAGAACTTCTCTCACGCCGAATTCGCATTTAGACTGTTTGCAATACAGCTCACTATTTCTAAGTGTTTCTAGAACTGTTTGAAGATGATGCTGATGATCTTCCCAGGTCTTGCTGAAAACTAGAATGTCATCCAAGAATACTACAACGAATTTTCGGAGATGCGGTTGCAGAATAGAGTTCATGAGTGACTGAAAGGTGGCCGGGGCATTAGTCAGCCCGAATCCCATGACTCTAAATTGGAAGTGGCCGAACGGCGTATTAATGGCCGTCTTAGAAACATCCGAGTCTTGAATTCTGATTTGATTGTACCCCGACCGCAAGTCCAACTTGGAGAAATATGCACTGCCCTGGATCGTGTCGAATAAGTCATCAATATTAGGAAGACAAGCTTTGTTTTTGATCGTAATTCTATTCAATTCTCGCCAATCGCACACCATTCTCAGAGTACCATCCGACTTTTTCACAAAAAACACAGGTGCACCGTATGGCGACTTACTTGGCTCAATGAATCCCTTCTCAAGTAATTCTGACAGCTGTGACTGGAGCTCGTCCATCTCCGGTTTCGGCAGGCGGTAGGCGGGTCGAGACGGTGGTCTGGCTCCATCTTCTATCTGGATTTCATGGTCGACTGGTCTCTTCGGTGGAAGCTCATTCGGCAGCTCGTCTGGAAATAAATCCTGGTACCTCTTGAGCAGGTTCTGTATGTCTTGTTGCTCTGATTCCTGGAGTTGTGGCCCGGAACGATTCTCCTCGTTTGCAGCAGTGACCCATGCAAGAAACCCCTCGGCTCCACTCCTCAGGGCATGACGAGCTTGTCGGCCACTGATAAACATGCTTTCCACAGATGGCCGGTCGGCTGTCGGCGGGTTAGCTGAAGGCAATTTGGCAACAAAGGGCTCACCGTCCAACTGAACTTCGTTCGTACGGAAGTTGATGCTGGGGTTGTTCCTTGTAAGCCACGGCTTGCCAAGAATAGCGTCGTAGCGAGTCAGGGGATACACAGTAAAGTGCTGTTCCTCACTGAAGCCCCCGACTGTCACCCTTAGCGTGCGTGTGGAAATCTGCGGGACCTCGCTGGTCGAGCCGTCCGCCAATGTTACGCTCAGCACTGCTGAGCTTGCATCCGTGTCAAGATGATGCTTTCGAACAAAACTGTCTGCAATGAAGTCATGCGTCGAACCGGAATCTATCAGCATCACTGCACGGCGACCGCCGATCTTTCCCTGTATGCGCAGTAGGTCGTGTTCAGGTTCATTGCCGACGCTGACGTTGCTGACATGACACCTTTCTGCAACGGGACAATTTCCTACAGCTATGGGTGTCTCCAGCTCCGTAGGTTCCTGGAGAGCAACGTCTTCAACCTCCAGAGCTCCGAACCGGTTAGCGACTGGTACCGGCGTGGGTGCTTCGGTCGTCGCCAGTAAGCGCACCCCCTTTCTTACTGGCGACCAGCGTTTGGGTAGCGCTGTCCACCGTCAGTACAGTCTTTAGCGAGGTGGCCTGGCTTCCTGCAAGCAAAGCAGTGTCCCATTGCTCGCAGTTGGACACGCTCTTGGTCCGTCAGCTTGCGGAGGCCCTGACCACGGAAGCTGGGCACGGAACGCGACTCTCTACTGGCTGGTGGCCCCGACGCCGGTGGCCCTGACGACTGCTCCACGGTGTTTGCTGCCATGACAGCTTGCTCCAGGGTACGTGGATGCTCACGCATGACCTGTCGCTGGATGTGCGGAACTAGACCCCTGACGAACAGCAGCGCTCTGGTGTGGTGGTCGATTTCCGGCACTTGCAGGCTGAGGCGAGTGAAAGCAGCAATGTATGCGTCCAGCGACCCGCGCTGCGCTGCGGAAATTAGTCCCATACGCGATATTTCCTCGTTGTGCCGTGGTCCGTACACATCGCCAAGTGCCGCTTTCAGAGCAGGCCAGTCGGAAAACACTTGGTTAGCTTCCAATGCCGCTATCAACCAAAGACGAGCGTTTCCAGTCAAAAATCCTGCCGCGTAGTCGACCCTCTGTGCCGCATTTGGGAGTGCCAACGACCGTAGGGCCATGTCCATTGCAAACGTCCATTCTTTGAATGTAGCGGAATCTCCTCCAAACACAGGCGGCTCTTTTGTAAGGCGGGGTGTTGGCTCCCACGGTTCCGAGTTCGGATGTATCGTTCGGTTTCCTTGGCTAACGCGCTGAGCGGTCTTGATATCGTTTATCAGCCGAACGACGAGTACGAGGAGCGTAAGCAGAGCGACCAGAACACCTGCCAAAAGCAGAGTAGTAACCATCCTCTGCTACCAGTGTAACAGGTTTAATCAAACTTGAAAAGTAAGAGGCCTGGTTGAGCGTGCCTCGACCAGTTATATACAAATGTGATAGTATACATGTGGCAATGGCGCCAATGAAGGTGCTAATAGACAGGCGTAAGACGCATGAGGTGCGAGGGAGTGTAAAGTTATAGAGAACAGGGGAAAACTGTTACAGTCAGAGAGCGCTCCTTCGAGCAGCCAGTCACACTCTGATCAAGCCAGTCAGTCCACTGCTGCTCGGCAAGATGATGCTGGTAAAGTTGAATGTGCTCAATACACCATGTGTGCTCCCTGTATGCTACTGTTAGTTTACTTGTGTGCAAATGTCTACTTCACACTATCTTGCAACACAATTTGATCTATGGGCTTGCTCAGGTCTCAAAGAGAACTTCTGTTTGCATGGGATACTATACGAAAAAAAGAATACTTTTCTCTGTGGATAATGAACACATGACTGGTTGCGTATGTGTGTTATGTTCGGTGACCTTTAGGATTTGATACACATTCCTATAATCGGATATTTCTGCACAGAGACATGGATAGTTTCTTAATTCAGTTTTCTGTTCTTTCCTGTTGAATGTATCAGGCCATGCTGAGCATGGAAGCTGTGGTATTTTCCTATCCACTTCACCACTGTAAGTTCTACGCATGCGTTGCTCAACAATGAAGTATAGAACCGAAGAATCAGTCCTAGGGAACGTTCAGTGAAATGTACTGCACCATTTCGAACATAATGAGTCAGGCCGGCCCAGTGAGTGAGTTCTCAGACCATGATTGTGCAATAACAGGTATATGTATCATGATCAAGTCTTGACTTGAAGAGGATTGCTTCAACTGTGCTGTACACCACATCGAGTTGGGAACACGAGGTGTGGAAAACAGGGCAACATTGATGCAGAAAGTTGGTTTTCACCTTTGCCCATATACTGAAATTGGTGGATCTGAATTTTTCTCTCCATTCGTAAAGAAGCGGCATCTGACGCCTTTCATGTAGCCTTTTCATGTGGTCTTTTGATGTGGCGGTGTCATCCCTAGAAACCAGAAAGGTCTTATTGAGCTGTGTAGTTCCCAGATCCTTTTAAAAACACATTTCCCTATTTGAAGTACATAAACAGAAGAAAGTAAAGATTGCAGATGCGCAACAAAACTGGCTATGCAATTGTGTTGCGAAACACAACCAGTTTAGGAAGTTTCGCTTCTACAAGGCCACCACCATGCCTGAGATACCAGGGTGGCAGATGTAGCACGTGACAGCGAGGGTGACTTAGTAAGTATCACAAGCAATGCCTGACAAGGTGCAAACCTTGTTAGCTGCATCTATGTTACCCTCACTCCGAATACAGTGTAGTGAGTAGCCAGTTGACAGTGGTTGTCAGAGCAATTAACTGCATGTAAAGTGGTTCACGCTTGCATCACAGCATTTGTTAGCAGAGTACACGTCACTGGTGTCAGCACTGGTCTTGAACTCAGAACCTTGCGATTGGCAGGAAAGTCCACACCACTCGGCCAAAGTACTGGTCAGTAGGCGGTGGCAATAATTTCCTTACACTGCTCGCTTAATGACATGTTTTGAAAATTATCAATTCAGCAGGAAATTGTGGTGAGTGCATGCCTAAAGCCTGGTGTCAGGTAAAGTGTGTGAAGAGACCTGCGGGCAGAATTGAAGGCAGTAGTGTAGGCGTGTAGGCAGAAGTGTAGGCAGTTGTGTAGGCAGTAGTGTAGGCAGAAGTGTGGGTAGAATTGTTGGCAGTTGTTCGGGGAGTAGTGTATGCAGTAGTGTAGGCAGTAGTGTAGGCAGTAGTGTAGGCAGTAGTGTAGGCAGTAGTGTAGGCAGTAGTGTAGGCAGTAGTGTAGGCAGTAGTGTAGGCAGTAGTGTAGGCAGTAGTGTAGGCAGTAGTGTAGGCAGTAGTGTAGGCAGTAGTGTAGGCAGTAGTGTAGGCAGTAGTGTAGGCAGTAGTGTGGGCAGTAGTGTAGGCGGTAGTGTGGTTAGAATTGTCGGCAGTTGTTCGGGAAGTAGTGCAGGCAGCACTGAGGACTGAAGGCAGTTGTGTAGGCAGTTGTGTAGGCAGTACTGCCTACACAACTGCCTACAGTACTGTAGGCAGTTGTGCAGTAGTGCAGACAGGACTGAGGAGGAGGGCGGGCAGGACTGAGGAGGGCGGGCAGGACTGAGGAGGGCGGGCAGGACTGAGGAGGGCGGGCAGGACTGAGGAGGGCGGGCAGGACTGAGGAGGGCAGGCAGGACTAAGAAGGGCGGGCAGGACTTAGCAGCGCGGGAGGGAGTGTGTGATGGAGTGCCGGCAGGAGTGAGGCCAGGAGTGTCATCAAGAATGCCAGCAGAGAAGTGAGGGGAGGAGTATGAGGGTGGTTAGGAGTGTGGGCATGGGTCTGAATGTGCAGAGAAGTGTTGGCAGGGGAGTGTGGGCAGAGTGTACACTGTTCTTCTGAAAGGGGGTCTCCTGGGGAAGCTAGGTCCGCTCACACTGTGGCCAGTGACTGTGTGTGTGCACTAACCACGGATGGCATAATGTCAGCCAGTAAACACATATCCGTGAACCTGGAGCCATGGTAGAGAAGTGTGGGCAGGGGAGTGTGGGCAGGGGAGTGTGGGCAGGGGAGTGTGGGCAGGGGAGTGTAGGCAGGGGAGTGTGGGCAGGGGAGTGTGGGCAGGGGAGTGTGGGCAGGGGAGTGTGGGCAGGGAGTGTGGGCAGGGAGTGTGGGCAGGGGAGTGTGGGCAGGGAGTGTGGGCAGGGAGTGTGGGCAGGGGAGTGTGGGCAGGGGAGTGTGGGCAGGGGAGTGTGGGCAGGGGAGTGTGGGCAGGGGAGTGTGGGCAGGGGAGTGTGGGCAGGGGAATGTGGGCAGGGAGTGTGGGCAGGGGAGTGTGGGCGGGGGAGTGTGGGCAGGGGAGTGTGGGCAGGGGAGTGTGGGCAGGGGAATGTGGGCAGGGGAGTGTGGGCAGGGAGTGTGGGCAGGGGAGTGTGGGCGGGGGAGTGTGGGCAGGGGAATGTGGGCAGGGAGTGTGGGCAGGGAGTGTGGGCAGGGGAGTGTGGGCAGGGGAGTGTGGGCAGGGGAGTGTGGGCAGGGGAGTGTGGGCAGGGGAGTGTGGCCAGGGGAGTGTGGACAGGGGAGTGTGGACAGGGAGTGTGGGCAGGGGAGTGTGGGCAGGGGAGTGTGGGCAGGATAATGTGGGCAAGGGAGTGTGGACAGGGAGTGTGGGCAGGGGAGTGTGGGCAGGGAAGTGTGGGCAGGGGAGTGTGGGCAGGGGAGCGTGGGTAGAGAAGTGTGGGCAAGGGAGTGTGGGCAGAGAAGTGTCGGCAGAGAAGTGTGGGCAGGGGAGTGTAGGCAGGGGAGTGTGGGCAAGGGAGTGTGGGTGGGGAGTGTGGGCAGGGGAATGTGGGCAGGGGAGTGTGGGCAGGGGAGTGTGGGCAGGGGAGTGTGGGTAGAGAAGTGTGGGCAAGGGAGTGTGGGCAGAGAAGTGTGGGCAGAGAAGTGTGGGCAGGGAAGTGTGGGCAAGGGAGTGTCGGCAAGGGAGTGTGGGTAGGGAGTGTGTGCAGGGAATGTGGGCAGGGGAGTGTGGGCAGGGGAGTGTGGGCAGGGGAGTGTGGGCAGGGAGTGTGGGCAGGGGAGTGTGGGCAGGGGAGTGTGGGCAGGGAGTGTGGGCAGGGGAGTGTGGGCAGGGGAGTGTGGGCAGAGGAGTATGGGCAGCGAGTGTGGGCAGGGAGTGTGGGCAGGGGGAGTGTGGGTGGGGGAGTGTGGGCAGAGAAGTGTGGGCAGGGAGAGTGGGCTGGGAGTGTGGGCAAGGGCAACATGGGCAAAGTGTGCAGACAGGAGTGTGGGCAGGAGTTTGGGCGTAGGCAAGAGTATGAGCAGGAATGTGTGCAGGAGTGCGGCCAGTAATGTGGGCATCTACATGTGTGTGTGCAAGTATCGAATTATGTCATCAAATGGTTAGAATTGTTCCATGTTTGTTCGTTTTGAATGTGTTCGTGAGTTTGCATGTATGTGTGTGTGTGTGTGTGTGTGTGTGTGTGTGTGTGTGTGTGAGTGTATTTGTGTGTGTGTGTGTGTGTGTGTGTGTTTGTGTGTGTGTGTGTGTGTGTGTGTGTGTGTGTGTGTGTGTGTGTGTGTGTGTGTGTGTGTGTGCTGAGCGTTGGCTCATGGAATGCTGGCTCTGTTGTGGAGAGTGATGGACCAGTTCTAGCGGCAGCCGTGAGAGGAATCGTTTCCGATGATAAGCCAGATTCATAGCTGCTGGAGATGGCTCTCTCGAACATGGTCCCGCTCGTCGTTCTATATTGTCGGCCCCGTAGTGGGAAAACGTGACCATAATGGCAGTGTTTACCAGGACCAGGACCAGGTGTGTGTGTGTGTGCGTGTGTGTGTGTGTGTGCGTGTGCGTGTATGTGTGTGTGTGTGTGTGTGTGTGTGTGTGTGTGTGTGTGTGTGTGTGTGTGTGTGTGTGTGTGTGTGTGTGTGTGTGTGTATCTACAGCCATGGCATGTGGTCAACGGACGAACGCATTGCAAACCTGTATGAGGAGAATGAAGCGGAGCTCTCTGAACAAACAGGTGCGTTATTCCTTTTAACATAAGACTGCTCTCTTTATCCTGTTCTCATCTATCTGCACTCAACTGCCCTTCAATGTGTGTGCTGTTACCATTGTTGTCTTAGTCTGTCTCTATGCTGTATACATACACGAAAACACACAAAAATACATACCTTCTTGCTCTACATACACTGGCTTATACTTCATTCCATACTCACCCTCATGCAATTGGCCATCTACATAAGTGGTGGATATTGCTAGATATTCACCGCTTATATTCACAACTTTTCGATACGTACTGTAAAGAGAGCAGTACTCGGTGCTGAGCTTAATTTCTCTTCAGTCAGCGCGCCGGGATGGCGAGTGCCGTAGACAATTTCTACGCTAACTTCCGCACACAGGACTTTTCTGAGTACAAATTAAATCGGCATGTGACCAGGTGGTGACAAGTCATCAGCCAGCGAGCAAACAATGTTTTGTACGCTCGGCATGTCCATGGATTGCGGATCGAGTGGCAAGCAAGGATTTTCGTTTGTACTCAGAAATGTTCTGATTATGGACGTTGGCGTAGAACTTTTCTAGGGCACACAACAGCTCCGGAGCGCTGCCTGAAAAGAAAATATGGGAGGGCACAATCGCTTAGATTGCTGTCTATTAACCGACTCCCGAAAATGATGCTCACAGATTGGTCAAATCTTCGCATCGAAACGGCCGACGATTGGCTCACATAAAGCACAAGCGTGTTCTCCAAGGCGATTGGCTCGAGCGTGTTCTCCAAGGTGATTGGCTCGAGCGTGTTCTCCAAGGTGATTGGCTCGAGCGTGTTCTCCAAGGTGATTGGCTCGAGCGTGTTCTCCAAGGTGATTGGCTCGAGCGTGTTCTCCAAGGTGATTGGCTCGAGCATGTTCTCCAAGGTGATTGGCTCGAGCATGTTCTCCAAGGTGATTGGCTCGAGCGTGTTCTCCAAGGTGATTGGCTTGAGCATGTTCTCCAAGGTGATTGGCTCGAGCATGTTCTCCAAGGTGATTGGCTCGAGCGTGTTCTCCAAGGTGATTGGCTCGAGCGTGTTCTCCAAGGTGATTGGCTCGAGCATGTTCTCCACGGTGATTGGCTCGAGCATGTTCTCCAAGGTGATTGGCTCGAGCGTGTTCTCCAAGGTGATTGGCTCGAGCGTGTTCTCCAAGGTGATTGGCTTGAGCATGTTCTCCAAGGTAATTGGCTCGAGCGTGTTCTCCAAGGTGATTGGCTCGAGCGTGTTCTCCAAGGTGATTGGCTCGAGCGTGTTCTCCAAGGTGATTGGCTCGAGCGTGTTCTCCAAGGTGATTGGCTCGAGCGTGCTCTCCAAGGTGATCGGCTCGAGCGTGTTCTCCAAGGTGATTGGCTCGAGCGTGTTCTCCAAGGTGATTGGCTCGAGCGTGTTCTCCAAGGTGATTGGCTCGAGCGTGCTCTCCAAGGTGATCGGCTCGAGCGTGTTCTCCAAGGTGATTGGCTCCAGCGTGTTCTCCAAGGTGATTGGCTCGAGCGTGTTCTCCAAGGTGATTGGCTCGAGCGTGTTCTCCAAGGTGATTGGCTCGAGCGTGTTCTCCAAGGTGATTGGCTCGAGCGTGCTCTCCAAGGTGATTGGCTCGAGCGTGTTCTCCAAGGTGATTGACTCGAGCGTGTTCTCCAAGGTCGTCGCGTCCCGCGCCACAGGCACCAGTACGTGTCCACGATCTGTCCTAACAAACTTGAACAATATTCTGTCAAGAACACAGTCATCGCTCTCCGATTCATTCAAGACAATGCCAGTCGGTAGTGAAGTAACAACGACTTACGTTAGTTCTGCGTACATGTACATCTATGACCACCGTGACTCGTTTGTTGAGCTGTAGGGATGATAGGGTAAATATGGAGAGGCATAAGTCTATTAATAATAAATATTACATATAGACAGGCATACAGACAATAGTACTATACATACAGACAATAGTAACTGTTTCTGATGATCGCTTAGTGCGTGAAACTCAGAGTTAACATACTATCTTTGTTCTCTTATTGTCTGAACCCGCTCTGACTCTCGGTGTTGAGCATTCTCTTGGACAGCCAGGAACATCTCTATTTTACAGACAGACATATTCATAAATAGGAACAGCACACTAATTAAAGGACAGTTGACCGCAGATAGATGTGAACCGGATAACGAGAGAAGTCTAGACGTTATGACTGAGAACAGAATCGTTTAAATAGAAAGAAGACAGTATGCACGAGGATTGCAAGGATGGGTGACAATGCAGAACAGCGCTGCTTCTTGAAGCATGTGGGACGGTCAGATTAATTTTCATGGACCGCACCAGGCGGAAAAAATCCTCGCGCCGAAGCACAGTGAGGGTAAAAACCAGGTGCATGTCCCCAATGGTGATTGTATGGCATCATGTAAGCAGGCAAATCACATCATAGGAAAAGTTTGAAAAGCAATATTTATGTGCATAGAAATGAAGGCTGGAAGGGCAGGGACACTGATGAGATTCAAACCTGATTGAGGAAGCCAGGAAAAGAAACAAGGATAAAAAAATTCATCAGATGCCATATTTGCAACCGAAAAATATTGCCCGAGAAATATTTTCTTGCCTACCTCGCTGCGCTTGCCTGTCCAGAAATTATTTTTTTAAACGTCCGGGCTTCGAAAGTGCTTGGCTTATGTTGAGTGGATGAGTCAAAAGTGCGTGACTTATCACAAGTGTGTGGATTAACAGTCTGTGACTAATCATGAGTAGACAGATCACCAATCTCATTGCACACCTATCCCATAATTCTGTGTATGCCTGGTGATGTACAACAAACTGTATCATCTTGTCTTGAAATATGCTGGAGAAAAGAAAAGCATTGCAAGCACCGTGAATGCAAATACCACGCCAGGTACCTAGGTGCAGAAATCTCGTTATTGTCAGGTACCTAGGTGTAGGAATCTCGTTATTGGCAGGTATCTAGGTGTAGAAGTTTTGAAGCAATCTCGTTAATGTCAGATGTGAAAACTGTGGCTTCATTCATAGCAAAGTCAACCAGAGTGTTCTGGCAGGATGCATTATGAGGCGAATGCACAACTTTAAAACTTGATGTCGATAAGGACGCGTTCAGCCGATAAAACAAGTCAAGAATAGTATTAGTAAGGCGGACGTTACGAAACAAAAAAAAGAGAATAATATGATGAATCAAAATGCAAAATTTCCTAATTAATTTTCATGACACACTCATCAGGGAAAGCTATTATCTCCTCGTCGCTTATTTAAAGTTGAATGTTCTCAATACACCATGTGTGCTCCTTGTATGCTACTGCTAGTTACTTGTGTGCAAATGTCTACTTCACACTATCTTGCAACACAACTTGATCTATGGGCTTGCTCAGGTCTCAAAGAGAACTTCGGTTTGCATGGGATTCTATACGAAAAAAGAGAATATTTTTCTCTGTGGATAATGAACACATGACTGGTTGGGTATGTGTGTTATGCCTACCTTTAGGATTTGATACACATTCCAATATCTCCTTGTCGCTTTTTTAATAAAATTGACAGGCTGGAAGAGTTTCTAAGGGTATTTGATCATTTGACGTAACAGGCAATTTGTCTGCAGTTTTTTATACTGCCTTTGCTGCTTTGGCAGAAACAGTACCGGATCAGATTGTACATTGGCCTTAGCAATATATGATCACGTTCTTTTCTGCTTTTCAGAAACGTTCTTGAAGAACCCATTCAAGCATGCCACCTTTATTGATGATATCCACATCTGGCTGCAATCACTAGGTGCTGCTGGCCTACGTAGCAAAGCACAGGGATATGGCTTCTTTACGGATTTTCCTCAGATGAAAAGGCTCATGATCACTGAGAAGTACAATGGTAACGAAGCCCACAACTGTGAGCTGCTGGATATCATCATGGCACAGGAACGTGTTGGCTACATCAAGCTGTGCAAGATCGTCAAGGGTTATGGACAGTACACAACACGGCTTGAGCAGATGAACAGTTTGCTGACGGAGAGTGATCGAGTCTAATCAGGTCAGTGATCAGCACACTCCTATCTGATTACATCACCACTGCCGGTTGCCATGACAACTGCTTGAAAATTGTTTGGCTGCTTGAAGGCCCTCCCATACCCAATTATTCCCGTAGCTATGCAGAAGACGTTACTTCAGTAACGTCTGGTGCTAGCCAGGGTCCACACAGCTTTAATTTGGTGTTTGTGGCGGACGGACCTCCGTCTGGTGCTATCCCGTATCTGTCCCGTATCGTGCCGTACCATCAAAGACAGCTTGTCACAAACAGCTGGCCACAATATTCAAATAGGGCTATCAAATGCAAGATCATAACGTGAAGCAACTTGGAAGAATGAGTATGAATGCAAAGTGTATCGGGTAATGCATGTAGGGCGATTGTGTGGGTTTGAATCCCAGGTTATGCCTTGAAAAAACAACAGGAGAATTGAAAAAATTATAACATATAACATGACGACCTGCGAAACCTGAAATCTGTTTTCAACGAAACGATTACGAGCCGAATCAAACTTTCGTTTCGCATTCGTTTCGTAGCTAATGCGAAAGGTCCCTAATATCTATATTTTACGGATGGCCCGTAAGCAACTCGGCCGGAAATTCAAGCAAGTTAGACATCCTCCTCGCCACTATCGTCGCTAGAGAAAGAGCCCAAAACGTTTGATCCGGCGAGCTGCTGCACATTTCATTGCTTGTTTCACTTCTCCTCTTCTTGAATTACGCTCAAAGGTAGAGCGTGCCTGCCACCTTGCCGCTCAGAAGCTGAGCGAGACTGCCCGCGTTTTGCCTGTCATTGTTATCCCATTCGTCGCAATAATGCCATTCTTTCAGACAATAAGGCAAAGCCATATCAGTGTCCTGTTTTTCAAATCGCCTCTGAGTCTCAAGCTTGTCGTACTCTGCTCATCAGCACCTACGCGAGCCGCTGGTGCTTGTACATGCAGTGCAGTG